TTTTTTTTTTTTTTCCTTCCTTTCCTGGCACTTACTGTTTAAAATAATTATCCTCGGATTGTTTTTGATGTTGATGTAAATGCATCTTGTATGTCTTTGGAGTGATTGAATAACAAACGATGTGAATTTGTTATGATACAGTGCCCTTTCAAAGATAATAAAGACTGGATTCTCAGCCATCAATCTCATATACTTTTTCACTGCTGGACCAGATGAGGTACTCCTTAGATTGCTTATCGCCACATTCAGGCTGTAGTTTATTCGACCTGCATTCTTAACTCGTGAATTTTTGTCCTATTTTAGGTGAAGTGCTGGCAAATTCGTCGACAGACGAAAGCTCCACAGGCTGCTGGAACAATTCATACTGATTTTGAAAAAGGTTTCATATGTGCTGAGGTACTAGCCCTTTTTTGCCTTCTATCTCTGCTTACACATCCATATTATACAAAACTTTTTTGGTGATGTAATTCCTTCTAATCGTTACTGTTGTTTTCTATTTGTCATCGTCATTTCTTTGGATCCTCTAACTTCGCATTTGGCGTTTTATATTCTTTGAGGATAGTATTCTGAATTATGAACTACTCTATTAATACTTAATTCTTGATCATGTGATTCTTTCCAGGTTATGAAGTTTGAAGATTTGAAGGAACTTGGAAGTGAGTCGGCTGTGAAGGTATTGTTCTTGTTCTGTAGAAAAGTGTTGGTCATTATGAATGACTTCTAGTAATTCATGATTTGAACATAGATGATATTGCTTATGTGATTTAAATTACTGGATTCATCATCTTTGCTGTACCTAAGATAGAAGCCATACTAATTAATAAGGCGATATGTAGAGGGAAGAGAACATTTAGATTCGAAGCAACATTTTAAGTGGAAGCGAAGTTCAAACATTTATTTATCTATTTTTGAAGACTGTTATACTGAGCTACTAATCTTTACTTACTGAAGTACTTAATAAGAGCTGAATTTTTTTGCGGACGAGGAAATTTCATCATTCCTGCTTTTGTAAATTTCCACTGAATATGCTGTATCTATCTTTTATTTGCATTCTTTTTCTTTCACAGGCTTCTGGGAAATACCGGCAGGAAGGGAAGACGTACATTGTGCAAGACGGGGATATTATTTTCTTCAAATTTAACGTTTCGGGCGGTGGGAAGAAGTAGAAGTGAGATTTTATATATCTTCCTATTTTTGAATACCAAATTTTACTGGTTGAACAGTTTGGGCAAGAACTTATTGTGATGTGTACTTGCGCCCTGGATTTATTATCGCGGGGCTGTACAAATTTTGCCCTTATTTCTAAGGAAGTACCGCAGTGTCTGTTCGAAATTAGCTATACCACTACATAGAATATTGTGGAGACAATGGCGAAAAGAGTTGCATCAATTTCCTCTTACCTTTTCTTGGTGGCCTGTATTTTTTCAATCTCCCAAGGTTATCTGATTATTGGCTTAGTTGTTTGCGCATGAACCCCTATGGTCGTAATTGTTTGCGTACGAACCCTATACGATGGCAATATTTGTGAACAAAGCCATTACATTATTAAGAGTTGCCCAAGAGTTGAGGACAAATCTTGAGAAAAAGCTTCCTCAGTGCATGCAAAATTGTTATGTTGTATACTTGTATTTGAACTTGAATTGCATCAAACTGTTGTATTTTTATCATTTTTCCATTAGTACAGATGAGATTTTTCAAGTGGTGGCAATAATTGGGCACCTAAATTTAAGAAAATTCCAATATTTTTCATAAGTGAATGTTCTTTTTCATGCATCACAATAGCAAGTACCCTTTCTCAAAATAATCAGACTGTCATTGTACCATTTGCTTCTAAGGTGGGACATTCTTTCCCAATGCATCAATTATCAGCATGTGATTGTTGATTGCCAGCCTCACCCCACTCCTTTCAATTTCTCCTCATTACACCTTCACCTACTGCACCTCTCTGTGTGTTCAATTTATTTCATTTTTGTCCTGAAAATTATGTTTTCTGCATTCAATTATGTCTCAGTATTTTAGTGTCCTAGTTTTTGTTGTGTTCTCGAGGTTTACCCTGTTGAGGTCGGCTCTAAGCGGTCTGTTGACTGTCCTTCCATTTTTATTCAGCTATTGACGGCTTGTATTCAGTTGGTGGCTGCACTCTTTTGCACATTTGTGTGCATTTATATAATACCTCTATTGGTTCGGCAAAAATAAAAAATAAAAAATATTCAAAGGGAATAATAGCATTTGAGGCAAATCAAGATAAATAATGAAGAAGTGAGAGTGTTTATGGTTCCTAGTACATGCAAGTGTGCAGCTTCTTTTACATTTTCATGCCTTCTTAATTGAGAGTCAGTGACCAAATTATGATATGTTAGTGTGTTATTTTTCATGAATTTGGCCAATCTGCAATAAGTGATCAGGTTGAAGGTATAGGGTCATATAATTTAACGGTCCAGATCGACCCGTTATATTTTTTTCGAAAAATAGTTATTTATTTAACGTAAAATATCATACTTTTATTGAATTTATTTTTATTATTCGGTACGATAACCAAAATTTTAAATTTTAGGTTTTGTAAATTTCAACATTGGTATTAGAGTTAGATTAAAAAATTTAATCAAATGCGATAATCTCGCCAACCGAGAAATTGGGCCGGACCAATGAGTTGGGGTTTTTAGGACTATGCTTAATGGGGAAATAAATTACTTCTTAATACAACCAAAGTTTTGTATTGGTTACTTTGGTTACAGCTCTCAACAAAACCAAAATAGCTACAGTCCCGTACAGAACAATTCAGTCTGTTAGATTATCATATAACCGTCAATTCCGTCTGTTAGATTATTATATAACCATCGGGGATAGTTAATCTAACGGTTACATAACGGAAGTGTAACATTTCCCATTAATATATGACAAGCACTTTTTTTTTTTTTAATCCCTACGCACTCCAACAGCGCAAGGGGACCTGAAAACACACTCAAAACTAAATTTAAATCACTTTTCTTTACGTCCACCATTAACACATTTTTCCCCCTTTCTTTTTGGCGGGTAACTTACAGACACAAATTACTCAAAAAGCTATAACAATTCGACTCCCGCTGCTTCTATTTAATCCTTAATCAGTTAATTGGTCCAAATTGTTTTCATTTTTTCCTTTTAGACACTAATAAATGACCAATGTAACGCCTTTCTTGATGGTAATAAGGTGTTTTACAATCAAATATATACGTTTTTTCTCCCTCAAGCTTACACTCTGGGGCACCCAGTTTTGCTCGTACATCGCTCGCTTTCGTTGTCTTTAATGTATTTACAGCGCAGATTTTGAAGACCCATTTCGTTTAATTCCGATAATGACGCGATGATGCTCTGTTTCGGCTGTGGGGCCTTGTTGAGAAAGTTGGAATTTGGCTATTTATGGTATGGATTTGTATCTATCGGTTCTCTGTTTAAGCTTCTGGTTCATGTAATTCTGTGTACATGGAAAAACATCAGAAGTTTTAAGGTTGTAAAAAGTTGGAGACTTTCGTCATAAATCTCAAGAAAGTGTAAGAAAATGGTGTGTGGAGAAGTCTCTCACTGTGTTTTTTTGTCACAAGTTTGCATCTTTTTAGGGCATTTGAGCTTTTTTTGCCTTTCTCCTTTATGGGGTTCTCGTTTTCGATTAGAGTCGTTTTCTGTTGACCGATGTTTTTAACCTTTAACCTTGTACATTTCTGTTAGTGTCCAATTTGTGTAGCTTTTGTGTATAGGGATGGGACCGTTTAGGCTTTATTTGCTTTGTCTTTGTATCATCTCTGCCTTTGGGCAGCTTCATTCACAAGATATTATGGCTTTGCTCGAGTTCAAGAAAGCAATCGAGCACGACCCGAGTAATTTCGTGCTCGGTTCTTGGAATGACGAGTCCATCGATTTTAACGGTTGCCCCTCGTCTTGGAACGGTATCATATGTAATGGGACAAACGTTGCAGCTGTTGTTCTTGATGATCTGGGGTTGTCTGCCACCGTTGATTTGAGCGTTTTTGCAAATCTAACCATGCTTGCAAAACTCTCGATTTCCAACAATTCGATTTCCGGGAGGTTACCCGACAATCTAGGCCAATTCAAGAGCCTTGAGTATTTGGATATTTCGAACAACTTGTTTTCTTCAGAACTTCCTCCTGACATGGGCAAACTGGTCCACTTAAAGAATCTTTCACTTGCCGGAAATAATTTCTCCGGTCAAATCTCGGATACAATTTCAGGGCTCGCTTCGATACGTTCATTGGACATGAGCCGTAATTCTCTTTCCGGGCCGTTACCATTGTCCCTGACGAAATTGAGAGGATTAGTGTATCTTAATCTCTCGATGAATGCTTTTAACCAAAGCATACCGAAAGGGTTTGAGCTCCTGCCGAGACTCGACGTTCTTGATTTGCACGGCAATGAACTCGATGGCGAGTTTGATCCGCAACTCTTGCTGCTCACTACAGCTAGTTATGTTGATCTTAGTGGGAATTTGCTCGCGAGTTCAGTTAGAGAGAAGCGGGAAAGTTTTCTGGCGGGTATTTCGCCTTCGGTTAGTTATTTAAATCTCAGCCATTGCGAATTAACTGGATCGCTTGTGGGTGGTGGCGGTGAGGCTGATGCGTTCGGGAGCTTAAAGGTTCTTGATTTGAGCTATAATCAGCTTTCTGGCGAGTTACCTGGTTTTAGTTTCGTTTATGATCTTCAAGTGCTGAGGCTTTGTAACAACAGATTTTCGGGTTACATACCGAACAACCTTCTGAAAGGAGGTTCTTTCGTTCTGACTGAGTTGGACTTAAGTGGCAATAATCTCTCAGGTATGCATTTAATTTTATACTCCCATTTTCTTCATTTTAAGCATTGAATTCTTTTCTCCATTCTTGTATCTAAAGTGTGCTGAGTTTGAGCTTAAGAGAAAGCTAATAACATTTCAGACTCAAGTCACTTTTGCAATGACTAACTGGAGAATTAACTTGGCAGGTCCCATAACTACAATTACATCAACAACTTTGCACACGCTTAATCTCTCCTCGAATGTGCTTTCTGGCGAACTTCCAGCATTGACCGGAGGTTGTGCAGTGATTGACCTCTCGAGTAACCAATTCGAAGGAAATTTAACTCGTCTGCTAAAATGGGGGAATGTGCAAGTCCTCGATTTAAGCCGAAACCGGTTGACAGGTCCAATTCCCGAAGAAACTGCTCAGTTTTTACGCTTAAATTATCTCAACTTATCTCGAAATTCACTGATCGGTCCTCTTCCGAAAGTGGTCACATCATTTCCAAAACTCACTGTTCTCGATCTCAGTTTCAACCGTTTGGATGGACCTCTTTTGACCGCTCTCTTCACACGGTCAACTCTTGAAGAGCTTCACCTACAGAGCAACCGATTTACTGGAAGTGTCGATTTTTCACCTTCCTCTGCTGGAGATTTTCCAAATCTTCGAGTTCTTGATCTTTCTGACAATCACCTTAATGGCTCTTTGCCTGATTCGATCAGTAATATGACTGCCTTAAATTCCTTAGACATTTCTCGAAATAATTTCACTGGCCCGATTCCTAACAACTTATCCGACACTCTCGAATGGTTTAACGTCTCGTGTAATGATCTTTCTGGTGTTGTCCCGGTAAATTTGAGAAAATTTCCTCTATCTTCTTTCTATCCGGGTAATTCTCAGCTGCAGTTCCCTAATCCGCCACCTGGTGGCTCAAATAATGCTCCATCTCAAAATGCAAGAAAGAAACACACAAGAACTATCATCATCATAATCTTAACAACAGTTGCTTGTGTACTACTTGCACTGATCATTTTTTTGATCCTTCTTGCCTGTTTCATTCACCAAAAGCACAAAAAATCACAAAAGCAGCCTTTGCCACTCGTAATAACCAGCAAAGACCACCCGAACCCTCAACAAACCTCAGCAAATGAATCTGATGATTTCGCCACGGTTCATGCTTCAGAAGAGAATCTCATGACATCACAAAAGGGATTGAAAAGAGAAAAAATAATTAGTCCCGATGAGAAAACAGCAGCCATAAGAGGTTTTTCCCCTTCGAAGACCAGTTTATCATGGTCACCCGAGTCTGCAGATTCAAATACTGCAGAAAATGTTTCGAAATTGGATGTGGGGTCCCCCGATCAGATGGCTGGCGAGCTGAACTTTCTAGATGATACACTTTCTTTCACGGCTGAAGAACTTTCGCGGGCCCCGGCTGAGGTGCTCGGGAGGAGCAGCCACGGGACGTCTTACAAGGCGACTTTAGGAGATGGACTTGTGCTGACTGTGAAGTGGCTGAGAGAAGGGGTCGCAAAGCAAAGAAAGGAATTTGCTAAAGAAGCAAAGAAATTTGCTAATATTCGACATCCGAATGTGGTTGGGGTTAGAGGATACTATTGGGGCCCCACGCAGCACGAGAAGCTTATTCTTTCGGACTATATATCTCCAGGGAGTCTCGCGAGTTTTCTTTATGGTAATTTGCTCTTTCTGCCTTCACAGGCTATCTATGTAACTATGTATCATCTCATCTGCATTTTAAACCTTGATGTTCGCTATGTGAAAAAAAATAATCTTTAACTCGAATCATCGCGCTTCGTGCATGTTACTGTCTGAATTTTTAGCATTTAGGAGTCTAGAAGAGAGCTTGATTTCCATTATGCATGTCACATTATCTTTTATTATTGCCAAATCCTCTTTTCGTTTGAATCGGCTTGAATATTCATGGAGGCCTAATCAGTACACACTTCAAAGGATTACTTGGTATTTTCTGAAAACACTGAATAGGTTTAGCAACCAAAACTGATAATATGGGCTACTGCTTGCAGTCACAAGTTGAGCCATACATGCATTTTTCTAGAGGAAGTGGAAAAAGTGGAAATTTGTCTTCATATTTTGCTACAAAACAGCGAAAAGAAAAAATCCCATCTAACGACTCT